GGTGATTAATGAAAATCGTCCTTTCTGTAAATAGGAGGGAGTTGGAATTACTCGAAGGTGAGTTTCTGTGTGTTTTCTTACATGTTCTTCTCAACAATGGTAAACCTGGTAAAATACCAGCAGATGTTGTTTAAGCTGCGATTCTTCCTGTTTTGTAGAGGAGTTGGGTTCTGAGCATGCTCAGAAAGTAGCAGAGCTGGAGCTGGTCATGCAGCAGAAACTGAGAGAGCGACAGAAAGTCTATGAAGAAGCCTTTAACCAAGATGTGGAAAAGTACCTGTCCACTGGATACCTGCAGAACAGAGGTAAGATTGAAAGATTGTTAACACTACTTTGTCTAACTATATGAAAATAAATAAAATCAAAGATTCAGCAGCTCTTAAATCTGTTGTCACCTGTTCAGCAGGAGTGGGGCGGGTGGAGGTTTGCCCACAGCGGTCATGTCAGTGGGAGAATCCGGGGTTTCTCTGTGAGCGTCACGTTCCCGTGGCAGCGTGCTCGCTCAGATTTGAAGTTTAATTTTTCGCTGTAGAAAGAAGTTTTTTCCCACGCAGAACAGCGGACGCTAATGTTTGTGTCACTTTTACAGAATGAAACTTAAAGTAATGTGATTACTTCCACGATTTAAACGCTGCATGGTCGTACTCTCTCCATCACTCCATGTTATCCATTGTTGATCTGCACACGTCTGTTACCGTGGACGCCACACGCTCGGACGTCACTGTCATGAGACACTCTCACAAACAAAATCACGGTTTAGTAACGCAGCAACACAGCGTGCTTACAGGAAAGTAACAGTAATCTAATTGATTTTTTTGCAATAGTACTCCCTTACTTTACTCGTTACTTGAAAAAAGTAATCGAATTACACTAACGCGTGTAGCTCTGATGCAAATGGTTAGACGTGAATGATAATAATAATTCAGTGTCCAACATAACAGCCCCCGGTCAGTGCCTTGGACTTACTTACATTTTTATTGGTCAGCAAAAAATGTTTATATTTGTATTTTGAATTATTAACGCTGTTGTATTAATACTTATTTTATTTTAAATGATAAAGAATAAAGAATGCAGCAC